ACATCAGTTGGTTTAATATTATAAACTTATGGTGATATAAGATTTTTCTTTCTTTAGTTTCCCAAATTACATAATATAGTTATACAATTTTTACATTAAAAAAAAGCAGTAATAATAAAGTTTGGAGCATTATGCAATCCATACTTTCTTTTGATGAAGAAACCATTAATACTTCTTTCCTACCTTTGTTAATGCCTGAAAAATATTAGAAAGAAATTCGCATGAAATATCCTTTAAGATTTTCAAGTGGAAGTCATCTTGGGTTAAATCGGATTTTTTAGTTTCTTCTGTGTTAGACTCTGCCGAATTTTCTGTTTTCTTCTGACAATGTTCCATATTTTGTAAGACCCGAATTAGGCTGTCAATTAGAGGAAGATCTACTGTACAAACAAATCAAGAGGCATGGAATCGGCCGGTTAAGTTTGGTTTTTCATTCATTCATTCTTATGTATTGAACAAGTGTTAAACATTGTATTTTAGGTACTACAGATATAGTGGTAAACAAGATCATCAAGGCATCAGACTTCAGAGGCTTACAATTTTATCCTTTCAACTAAGTAAGTAAATTAAGTAGATCATTTCAGATTTTGGTAAGTTCTATGAAGGAAATAAAAGAGAAATATAATAAAGCAGCCTAACAGGAGAGACCTTCTGAAAAGGTGACACTGAGTTGAGAACTACAGGCTAAGAAGCATCAGCAACGCAGAGCCCAGAAAACACTTCAGGTAGAGAGATCAAGAGCAGAGCTCCATCCAGAAAGAAAAAATCACAGAAAGTCTGAAGAACAAAAATGAGGCTGCTGTGGCTCCAGCCCAGTGAGCCAGCAGAGGAGCGGCATGAGACAGGTTTAGAGAGTTAGGCAAGAGCCCTACCATGCAGAGCCTTGAACAGAGTGAGAAAAGAATCTTAATTTTAAACTTTCCCATAACAATCTTAAGCAAAGCTTTTAAATGTGATGTTTTACTAAGTTTAACAGAAAAATATTCAGTATGATTTCTTAAAAGACTCAATAATCATTTAAATCAGCCTATAATAAAAACTGAACATAAAAATAAAGCTCAGACTCAAAATATATGTTATAGCATGAACTTGCTTGAAGATATCTCATTCTGAATCGATCACTGGTTCTGACTTTACCATTTCTGCTTAATAATTACAAACCCAGAGAGTTTTCTGTAGCGTTGAATCACACACACTGATTTTTTTTTTTTGAGACAGAGTCTAGCTCTGTTGCCTGGGCTAGAGCATGGTGGTGTCAGCCTAGCTCACAGCAATCTCAAACTCCTGGGTCTCAAGCAATTCTCCTGCCTCAGCCTCCTTAGTAGGGGGGACTACAGGTGAGTAGCCGGGACTACAGGCATGCACCACCATGCCCAGCTAATTTTTTTCTATTTCTAGTTGGCAGACTAATTGCTTTCTATTTTTTCAGTAGAGATGGGGTCTCGCTCCTACTGAGGCTGGTCTCGAATTCCTGACCTCAAGCAATCCTCCTGCATCGGCCTCCTGGAGTGCAAGGATTACAGGCATGAACCATCATGCCTGGCCCCATATATATATTCATTTTTTAAAAACCTAACTCTATAACCAAACTTAACTCATTGATAATACATGAAAATGACATTTTTAAAAAATTAGCAACCAAAGAAATCCTTTTATCAATGTCAACTTTTCAGAGCATCTACCCCACCTGGCTGCTTTATTATATTCCTCTTGGATTTACCCCTACTCTCTTGTATTATTACCAACTCTTGCCTCTAAAGCCTAACTCTTTACTCTACGATTTCCATGAAGGTCACATCAATCTATACCAGCCTCTCTTGTCTCTCTTTCTCACCCCAGCACTAACTCTACAAAGCCTCTATTCAAGGCTGAGGGCAGGGTGAAAGGCAGAGGGTTAATCATTGGATTGGAGTTAATGGAGCATCTTTACACTGTCTGCCCGAATCATAAAAATCATACATAAAGTTTTGGGAAGGAGAGGGTGTGGAGAGCAAAGAGGATAAAGAACACCTATTCCTATCATCAAGATGTGCTCCTAGTATTACAAATGAAAACTCTGTGTGGTTTTCAACAGAAGGATTATATACAATGAGGTTAGAAAGAATATTGGGGTTCAAAGTCAGCATATCTCCCCTTTTCCTTTCAGAAATTACCTCGAAGAAACAAAGACAATGGGCAACAGAAACAAACTCCAGCTTGGATAAAAGCAGGACACAGCTGAAACTTCAAACACAAAGTAGGTATAAAAAGCAGCAAAAGCAGTGAAAATCAAACAGGAGGTAAAAGAAGGATAGGCGAGAGGATGCCTGGGGCTGCAGATCTCAGAAAGGGTCAGAAAAGTCCACTTCTCTAAAGTAAAGCACACACTCTGAGGTGTAAACCTAGAATCCCTTGTTTGCAACATTAGGAATAGAGCATGCAAGATGGCAGCTGGTGCTTCTGTGGGGGTTCTAACAAGCAGAGGAAGAGAGGTTGAATGAGTAATACCATAGACAAGCCATATCTGCAGGAAGCAAATGGCAAGGGGAAAGATAAGATTTTACCACTACTACCTCTCATCTGGGAAACAGAGCTCGAAGACTCACAGACCCAACAATTCGCCTGGAATATAGCCTTAGCCCCTCTCCTGCATGAAGTTCCTACAAACAGCTGGCCCAGGAAAATCTCAATTCATCCAATGATGAGCAAGCAAAAAGAAAGCGACATAGGAGCAACATGAAAACATTACCGAAAAAAAAAAATAATAAGGACACACAAAAAACAAATGGCAGATAAAGAACACTCAAAAAAAAACTGACATGAATACTGAGATAATATTTAGCCATGAGCTTTAAAACAACATGTAATCAAGGACAGAGCAGAGACACAAGACCTTATATCAAGAAGTGAAAGATAACAAGAGAGGAAACCTGAGCTGGTAGAGCTCAAAGAAGAATAAAGAAGAAATGAAGCCTCTGCAGAAATGAAGACAGAACTGCCAGCAGAACAAGGGAGAACAGACATTGCTGAAAACACAGCAAGGGACATGGAGGTCCGGAAGGAAAAAGAAAAATGAATGGACAGGCCGGGCGCGGTGGCTCACACCTGTAATCCTAGCTCTCTGGGAGGCCGAGGCGGGCGGATTGTTTGAGCTCAGGAGTTCGAAAC